TCTCTCTCTCTCTCTCTCTCTCTCTCTCTCTCTCTCTCTCTAGGTATTTGTATTTGCTGCAGTATATGCCAGCTGATATTATCAGAATTCTCCTACAAGTAGAGGTTGTACAGTATAAAAAGAGATCACATTATCCTATTGTTCTTGTTTTGTGAGGGTGTTTTACTATAAATTCCTTGTGTGCACTATTATAGAGTCATGGAAAGGATCATACAAATATTACAACTAAAAGGCTATACTACAACTCAACAATCCCATAGCCTTTTTTACCTAGAGGGTGTTTAATTACTATTGTAGCGAGCAAGGAACGTTGGTTCTCCAGTTTTATAGATTAAATTAGGTTGATACAAAGCTATTATTCATATTACAGCATTCACATGACCTTAACACAGCTAACCTCTTTTCTAAATTCATTTAAATAGCACCGTTGCACTTATACTCGGCCTTAGTTGATTGGTGCTGCGTTATTATAACTGACAGCATAATGAGCATGCAGTAACTCCTGTGATCACCACACTACTTTGTGTTCTTTAAATAATCAAGAACAACATTTTTTTTAAAGCATTTCATAGAAAGCAGTGTGTTCTGCAGGAATTGACTAGAGCTTGAATAACCAAGCTGGGGTTGAAGGAATAGTATGCATCATGCATGACGAAGTCATAGCTGCATTGCATCTGCAGCATTTGGTGAGGTGAAGAAGTGAATGTTTTTTTCAGCTTACAAGGTCAACAGAAATACATGTGAATAAATACGTGGGGCTACAGTGTCACAAACTTCAGAAAGTATGTGAGTAGATTTGCATACAATTTAAAGTGCTGCATAAATCAATCACCTAGGATGTTTTCAGTTTGACAAAACAAAGAATTCCTAAAAGTCCTCAAAGGTTACCAGTTTAATTAAGACATGTTTCTCAGCTCTGTCAGTCACGAGTATTCAAACCATAGAGAACACTGCCTCTGGTGGCCAAGAAGAGAATGTTTCACTTTGGAAAAGGGACATGTGTCTTTATCCTTTTTTGGTTATCTTCAATGAACCTTGAACTCTCCACCATCTAAGATGGCTTATATCCCCTAATGCTTAATGTGTTATGCCAATAAGTATTTGCCTAAATATTAATAGCAAATGCAAATTCAAACAGTGCACTAGTCTGTTGTTGACAGCATGATCAAAAAGTACCATACTGTATGCTTATTAGAAATGACACCATTCATTCTGCACATGAATACAACTCGTCATAAAATTGTACCACATGTTAAACTGCCTTTGAATATTTTGCTTTGAGTCATATAGATTGCATGTTTGTAACGCAGTTATTTGCATTGAGTTTTTATTGAAATTGCAGGTTTTACGCCCTGGGAAATCTTGAACGTTTAAATAATGTACCACATATTAAAATAATTGTTTCCTCAAGAATCAGTTCCTTAATTTGTTCATTAAGGGATTATTTGTCTCTCAATTTGATTCTTTTAACATATACTTACTTATGAGTTGTTGATAAGCTTCTGGTATTATTGAGCCATTTCACACAAATAAATAGTATCGGTTCAAATCAATTTAAACTTTGTTTTCAAATCATCAGATAAAAGGTAAAGTGACTCTTTCTTAACCATGTTCAGGCATCAGCTCTTCCAAAATAATCTTTTCAGTCTTGCATGTGGCCGTGATAATCTGGATTTAAAAACTGGCCACGGTGCCTGGTTTGATCCCTGGTTTCGTCAAGATAAAGAATGGGCTGAGAGATTGTTTTTGATCAGGACACTAAACTTCTCCAACACTCCACTGCAGCACGAGATGAATTTGAATATAGAATAGCACTTTTACTTTATTTAACCCCGGTGTTTGGTTTATATTGATTTTTGTTTCCAACTGGTTCGCCCTTTGGGCCCAACTAAGCTCAGGGCTGTTTGTGTAAAAATGAATAAGACCTTTATTTGAACTCAATATCTAAATAGTTTTAAGCGGTAACCCTTTGCCACAAACAGTGATTGCACAATTGATGAAGGTGATTAGGCATAAATGAGCATAACACATTGTCAATACACCAGATAATATCATTTTCTTTATATGATATATGGCTATGCATGACCAAATCTATTTTGTTTGTAATCCACATGTTGTGCATATGTATGTTTGGGTCAATTAGACCTAAAACAGAACTAAGTTACTGGAGCAGACTTCTGAAATATGTCATCAGTTTGTAAGCGATTCTGATACAATTGGGACAAGTTTAGTATGTTAATGTTAATATTGTGTAGCTGGTCTCCAGGATAACATTTTTAGTGACAGGTTAAATGTTTCTCAAATACTCATGAATAACTCCGATTTTGCAGGAATTTGTGGCTTATTAGTTGCCATCAGTGAGGAACCTCCAACCAGGCTCTCACCATTGAAAAAAATACATTTTAAGCGTTAGGCTATATTATGAAAGTGAGAAGAACATTTGGGAATCCATCATGCATACAGATAAGAGCATTGTGTCTATGCGCACTGACGGTGACTGCTATCATTAGCTACACAACCGGTCTGACGTGACGGTCTGTCTTTGTCATTGTTCCTTCACAACATGAAGATACCTTCAATGAATGAAAGAGTGGGTGACTAAACGATTCAATCAGTAAATCCTCATCTGCCTCCATGTGTACCCCGGCATTGCCTCAGACAGTTGACTCTTGGCTGAGCTGATAAGTCCCTCTTTATTCCGCCGCCTGCTGCCAGAAAAGCGCCCGGGGATCTCATTGTGCGGAGTGATCTGAGACGGACTACACCCAGCCGCTGCATCACTACCCTGGCTTTCTTTGCTGCCCTAGCCTTGGCGTTGGTCAACGTCGAAGTGTGGGTTTAGATTGGAGACTCTAAATTCGTCTGTAGGTCTTCTTCCGATTTAGGTGTGTCCTGTTCGGCAACCATACGTCCGAAGCTTTTAGGGATTTTTTTTATATATAGCATCAATTTCTTGAATATGTCTTGGCAAAGCTACGTGGAGAACCTGATGGCCGATGGCAGCTGTCAGGATAGCGCCATTGTTGGATATACGGACGCCAAATATGTTTGGGCAGCACATGCCGGTGGTACATTCAACAATATCACGGTAAGGGGTCAGAATTAGGACGTGTGGTTTCGTTTGACGGTGTTGTTTATGCATCAACCCACGCAGGCGCTCGCCACACTGAGCCGCGTTAAAACCGTTATCTCGCAGGGTCTAAATGAGCTAACGGTACCGTGCTAGCTCAGTGCTAGCTAGTCTATCGGTGGCCTGTGTCCGTTATTTCCTCCTTAAGGAAACGTTGCGGGATTAGACCTCGTGTTGATCAGAAAAAAACAAGCACGTACTTAAACACCCCAGAAACAAATCGTTGCCGTTAAAAGACACTTATTAAAAATGTCAAGACGCTGTCGTGTTATTCGTAACGGTGACGTTAAAGCCAGCGAGGAGACGGTGTCTGACTTAAAGCGGGCATGCTTTGTGTGATTAGCTCACGTTAAGCTGCTGCTCTACCTGTGGTTACCTCTGGCGGACGATTGGTCCGCCGACGATAAGGCTCTCTAATTACTAACGCGAGTAATCTAACCTACATGTGTATATATTTTTTTGATGGAAATTACAATGTTTTTTTGTTTTGTATTATTAATTGAGAGGGATGCACGAGAGCTAGACCATCATGAATAAGACGTCACTTAACTTCCGCTCCTCACTGCAGGGATGGGAGGTGGTCAGTCCCAGAGATTGTGATGGTTTTTAAATTGTGTTTATAAACCTCTCTTAGTATCATGCTGGTAGCACCCTTGGTTTTATACATAATTCTGGTGCCAGGATAGCAGGTTTACCCTATTGCTCTGCAGATTGTTTTCTCCATTTATCCCTCGTTCTATAGAAAATAGTGGTTATTTAATTGACTTATATTACATATTCAGTTTACTCTGTCTGTAACTAACTACTGATCTGTATATGACCAACAGGAGCAGCACGTCCTAACGTTTAAGAAGCTGGATCCACCAAATGATGAGAATTGTTGCTTGATTATTTTCTGTTGATTGACTAATCTCTTCTTACATTTTAACTCTATACATAGATTATTAAGCACTTTGTGGATGTAACATAAAGCGGGTGTTCCTGGTAGACGATGTCAAACAGAGAGTAAATAAATTTCCCAAAAAGTCAAGGCACTATGTCCATCCATGACAGTTCATTGTCACGGTATAAAAGTTAGAAGTTTACTTTATCGTGGCTGCATAGTTTGTCTATATATTATTATCGTGTAGTCACTATCATTTTTATTTTACCGTAACGTAGCAGGGCCTTCTGACTTATTGGGGAATTCATGTTCTTTCTAGTGGGAACATGTTTATTTATGTACTTATTAATGATGTTTCTTTTATACTCACAGGAATTATGCTAGTCATGTAACTGGAAGCATGTTAAATCTGTCTGAGGATCTGAATGACATCCTGTGGTTTTGTGGGTTTTTTTTCAGTCTCAAGAAATAGATACCCTTATCGGCAAGGACAGGGAGAGCTTTTACACCAGCGGTCTCACTCTGGGCTCAAAGAAGTGTTCAGTCCTCAGAGATAGCATCCATGATGACGGGGATTGGACAATGGACATCAGGACAAAGAGCGGAGGAGGAGAACCTACATACAATGTCTCTTTGGGAAGAGCTGGAAAAGGTAAAAGTGTAGTTTCAAAACAGTTAACCTCATCATCACAAAGCGGTGTCTTCACGAGTTAAGATACTGTGTTGTATGTTATTTGACTTAAGGAAGTGTAGTCTCACAATCAAGGGTGTCTTTGGTTTTTGTACAGTTGGTCAGAAAAATCATGCAACCGCATTGGTAAATTATGATGGCATTTGCCACTATTTATGATTAACATTATATTGACTAAATTCTTCCTGCAGATGTGATTTTCACATCGATCACATACACATCTGTGCGACTATATCTGTGTTGGAAACGTTTTACACATCCTCCAAACCAATGCTGCACCATCTAACAAAATGTTTTCTCAGCAATATCCACTGGCTCATTAGTGTTGCATTACATCTGGCTTGCTGTTTAACAACAGAGGTCAGCAGACGCTGTCCTGACCAATCGATGATCTTCCTACAGTTCATAAATGTTACATTAAAAAGAATGAATCTACAATGGTGACAAGTGATATGTGGGTGTTTTTATTTTGCCACACCCACCCGCCCCGTTATGCATTAATCAACTACACTAACGACCAACTTTATGCATTATAGTAGCACAATATTCAGGACTACGGTCTGAGATGTGTGTGTGTCTCACACACAGGATACGAAGGTGGACTATTGCACGCAATGTTTTGTAAGTTATTATTAACTTACTCGAAATGCTGCTTTTATCACTTTTTGACCCGCCTGCCTGAACCTGTGATACTTTCTAGTAAGCTCGCCCGCGGGCACTAAAGGTGATTGGTGTTGGAACATTTTTGGACACTGACTTCTCATCATTTGGCAGTCTGAGATGTACAGACAAATACACGGGATCAATTGGTAAATTGACCTGGTAGTGAAATCACCTATTGTTTGGTAGCAAAGACAACCTGCAGGCCATTAGCCCTGTTTGGGTGAAAACGATCTCTGGTCTACACATTTAATGATACTTGGAATGCCCTTTCTTACCCTTTTTTTTTTTTTTTTTTTTTTTTTTTTTTTTTTTTTTAAACTTTCCTTAACTGTGCCTTTTCTATCTCTTCTCTTTCAGTTTTGGTTCTTGTAATGGGCAAAGAAGGGGTCCATGGAGGCGGATTGAATAAGAAGGCTTTCTCGATGGCAAAATACTTGAGGGAATCAGGGTTTTAATGTTTTCAAGCTCACGTAGATGAAATTGAGAGACAAAAAGAAGAGAAAAGAAATATTGCTGTTAAGATTTCTCCTGCAAGCAGTCAAATGTCTTGGAAACTTTTAATAGCAATGAAGAGTGGTAAGATACTGTGTCACCTTTGTTTCCCCCTTCGTCCTGTAGGGGGGAGAAGTTGTTCATTTCTCTTTTTTTCCCTTGTGTGCTCCTGTATTGGTTTTAGTCATGGGGAAAGGAGGCGGCCCATGGTGGAAATCTTAACAACAAAGCACATACAATGGCTGACTACCCGAGGAGGTCTGGATATTAAGCAACCTCTCCACCCATCCATCAACTTAGCAGCTCACTCCCACCCACCGCATTGTGTTGGCACTACTTCCAGGATAAGATGGCATACAATGTTACTTCCCCATCCCAGTCTACTTTTATATACAGCCTTTTGTTTGCTTAACTCCTTCCATACTCCTTTTTTTTGCTTTTTATTTTATTTACTAAGCTTCCCCACTTAAACATTGTACTTCTCATGTTTTTGCCACTGCATTAATGGCATGTTCATTGAAATGTTTATTAACCAAAAGTGTGCAAAAAATGATTGCAAAAGTGTAAAATAAACTTTACTCTCACTTTGTATAACTTTTATTTAGCAACTGGCTAATATTCCAAGGGGAAGTACACATGTAATAGTGGTGATAGTTTGCAAAGTTTTGCTTTTTGAGCATTACTAAAAAGATGCCAGTGTCTTTTTTCTTTTTTTTTTTTCATCAGCATGTGGGAATTTAAAAGTTGCATGCATACCCTCTTAGCAAACAGACCCCCAGGCGTATCCCCGTCTCTATCCCTGCGTAATATTCCAGCCAAAACCATCTTCTCTTCTGCCTCCATCGTCAAGTCTCCGAGCCTCTATTAAATACATGACAATTTCCTCTGACAAAGTCCTGTATGTGTGTACCAGTTGGCCACCCTCAAGCACAATGTCTTTTACCCTCCATCACATGCTTTCGCTATTGTACCTGAATGTGGTCTTAAAAGTTAATGATGTGGTGTTGGGCTGTTGTTTTTGAGTGTAGTGCAAGGTCAGCATTGCTGAGGTCTCAAGATATTGTCTTGATACTTCACCACATCCTGGAGTCTCAGTGGACGTTCCACCTATGTGACAGCTCGGTCATTTGTCAGTCAGCTTCTGCTATTTGTAAATTTTTCTGTAAATCACTACACACCTGTTATTTTCCCCTCCTCCCCTTTGGACCAATTGTCAGTATAAAAGGATTATCAGAATTACTTGAGCTTATTCTGATGGATGATTGTTGGCATTACCTGTTGACTGTAAACCATTAAGACAACTTCAAATGACTGTAAAACATTGAACTGCTTCCTTAGACTTGAACACTACTTAAACCCTTCATCACTAATTGACTTGTTGCTAACTTTATGTCCATTAACCAATGAAACAGCAATGTCATTTGACTACAGTGTGAATGCATTTTGACTGTAAACCGAGGCTGTTGGGCTCCAACACTTTGGAATTTTTTGCCTTGTGCTTTAGTCATCAAAGGTGTATTCACAAATTGTCATAGTACGGTACTTAGAAGTATATTTAAAAGATAAAATTAATGATGCTGTGTACACTAAACATATTGAAAATGGTGTTGGTTGGAATAAGAACATTTGTAAGTTGTCTTGTGAAATTTTTCTGAGAATAACTGTATTCTGTGCCATAAAAATCGATCTGATCTGTTGCTACTACGAGTTGGATTTTTAACTGCTGTCCCAGCAAGAAGTAACTTTTAATGGCACTTTCCTACGGGATATTTTGGCATCAGTAATCTCCAGACTTTGTGGAATATGTACAGAATTAAACAGAAAAAAAAAAGTTTGCAATATTTTGTCTTTTGTTTTTTAGTTGGAAATTCCTTCTGCCACAAAATCAATTTCAAATGCCATGAATTGATGACACATCTTGTTTACAGACGGATCAAATAAAAGTTCTTCCAACCAGAGTTAAAGCCAATATGTCCCGTCTGTTACCTTGTGACTATAAACTTGTATGTTAACCGTTTCAAGAGATTTAAAGTCCATTTTAATTCAGGTATTAAGTTCTAACTTATGGTATTAATGATTCACTAGATTAGCAACAATGCATACCACTTTTGGAAAGCTTGGAGAAAAAGGGACTCTGCCTTCTGAAGTAGTGTCAGATATTTCAATTAGTTGTGAACATCACTTTTTTTTTATAAAGGTCAAAGTTATCTGTAACTCTTAGATTCAGAATGAATGAGGAGAAACAAACATTTTACTAACTAATAATACAATTTAGAGACATAACATCTCGATCAGGCCAAAGGAAAGATGACACGTTGATATGACTAAAGAAATAAACCATTGGCATTCATTAATATACCCTTGTACTCAATTTAACCCTGTAAAACCCATGTGCATCATTTTAAATGCATTTTCACCAAAGTCAAACTCACATATTTCGTGTCCTTGGAAACTTGAGATGCACACTAGAATTTAAAATAAGGTTGTGTAGATCTGAACACTGTTTGGCTGCACAGCATGAGTTTGTGACAACTGGCCCAACAGTGGCTTGTTAAGGGTTTAAACCCATATATGACACAAATTTGCTATCCACAGTGTAGCAAGTCCATTTAGGCCTGAAAAAGACCGCAATAGACACCCTGACTTTGTAAGCACCTATATGCTTTATTATTTTTGAGGACATTTTTCTTTTGTTGTGAGTTGTCTATGTGAAAAACTCTACAGGCTCAGGGAAAGCCAAACAGATATAGGCTTAAGCAGATTCAAATATGATGAAAGGCCTGAAAACAGATATAATTAAGCCTAAAAACCTTGTTAAGACTGCCAAATAACCCTGAAGAACGATAATATGAAGTACAATCAAATGTTTGTCTTTGTCACATGTCTAATACTTTTTTTTTTTTTACAATTTGTAGTTTTCCACTTCCAAAGAAAAGTTCAGGGCCACAAACTTACGCCCCAACCTTACTTGTTTGATTGGCAGCACCTGCTGTGGTGAGGTGTTAGATCAGTTGTAATCAGGACCAGACCTTGAGTGCTCAGGCTTTATCAGGCCTGAGTAGTGGAGAGTTCAGCAATTGAAGCAAGCAGCTGAGGTACTCTGCCCATGTGCAGTGCTTTTTGTTTGTCCCAATGGCGTATAGAGAGAGCAGAGGCAGTAAGATTTTACTATGTTTAACACTTTTAGTTGGTGCCAGTTCATTTTGCCATTGTGCTCGACTTACAAACCTTAAGGCGTTGGATAAATTAAGAGGAAACTCGACACTTCACGAAAGTCAATCTAAAGGGATCGATGTGCGCCATGGAAGACTGTTAATGGGGCAAAATTCTCTGCAAGATGATAAACTAAGAGGAACCAATGCCACAGAGGACTTCCTGGATGTTGATACAGATTATCAAGAGGACATGGGTATGTAATGCTAAAATTCTAGTTACAATCCCTACAAAAGTTGTTAATTATGTTTAACAGTTTTTGACAAGTCCTGTGCATGTATTATACCCCTGTTTGACTTTTAGGCTTGTAGTTGAATCTGTGTTAGGACAGTTAAATAATGACAGTCTAGCTGTTTGAGTTTAAACAAAGCCCTATTCTCAATAGGTTGGGGTGAGGCCATGCAACTTAAAGGCCGGGGAGATGGCTTTTCAAGGCCAAATTTAAAGCCAGAGAGTGCAGCGGTAGATCGTCTCCTTAAAATGGATCCAAGGGTTGAATGTACGGGAGACTCCATGAAGCTTCGAGTCCAGTATGGTGATTCTACCCCTGGATCACTGTTCTTTGTGGACAGGGGTAAGTTTACTCTATTGTAAGGTAATACTTTTACAGCTCTCATTTATACTGTACACAAGTATTTGCAGAGCAATTTCATGCACTTAAAAAATAAGTTCTGTTTCATTAATTGCTCAGGAAGTGACCTGTCTCCTCTGCCGCTGTCCAAGTTGCCACCAAACTGTGGTTACACAATCGGGTCTACACCGAGCGATTTGGTCTTGGATGCACCTTATGATGGTTGCTTTGTTGCTCTTGAGGTGGGATACTTTTATTCTAAGATTATTGCACATTTGAACCATGTACACTTGGCACATCTTGCTTTCTGGATTTAGGAGGATTGCTACGTTCTTCCTTTGCGTTGTTTGGGGTTACCAGTGAAGATGTCATGCCCTTTGATAAGGCAGTCTTCACCTAACCCTCCGATGGTCGCCTGCTATGCTCAGGGCATGGTTGTGAAAACGGGATGGACTGTATCCGTTGATAAAATTAACATAAATTGTAAGTGTATGCCTCTTTTGTTTTAAGATAATTTAAAGAAATTTCTGCCCTACATGACCAGATGTCGGTTTTTTTGGAAGCTTATTTGTCTGTAATGTATTACTTTACAGTGATTGGTAACTGGGAGCCACTGATGAAGGCTTCACCCAGATGTGGGTTCAGTGTAGTTGAACATCCCGAGGGTGTGGTCATCTCTGTTCGCTATGCACCCTGCCTGGAGAAAAAGGTATGGTACAAATTTTCTTTTGATGCAAAAATTCCCCATTTAAAATTTTAGTAAAAACTATTTACCTTTTGTGTTCCAGGAGGGAATGTACACCCTTGAATTGGCTGGAGAAGGAGAGACTAAAATGTCCTGTCCATCACTGTCACCAGCTCAAACTGAACACACAAGGCCCATCGACGGTCCAAAACTGCAAACTGAAACCCCTGGGAATTTGTCACCTACCACACTTGCTCCAAAGAACCAAGAGCCACTGCAGCCTGATGCCCCTAAGGGCCAATTCCAGCATCCCTTCTACCCCTTCTATCATCTGCCAAAGCCTGAAAACCCAACTGCTGCTCCAAGGCCTCCACAGCCTGAAGCCCCCAAGGGCCAAGTCCAGCATCCCTTCTACCCCTTCTACCCTCTGCCAAAGCCTGAAAACCCAACTGCTGCTCCAAGGCCTCCACAGCCTGAAGCCCCCAAGGGCCAAGTCCAGTATCCTTTCTACCCCTTCTACCCTCTGCCAAAGCCTGAAAACCCAATTGCTGCTCCAAGGCCTCCACAGCCTGATGCCCCTAAGGGCCAAGTCCAGCATCCCTTCTACCCTCTGCCAGTGCCTGAAACCCCAACTGCTGCTCCAGGGCCTCCACAGCCTGAATCTCCTAAGGGCCAAGTCCAGTATCCTTTCTACCCCTTCTACCTTATGCCAAAGCCTGAAAACCCATCTGCTGCTCCAAGGCCTCCACAGCCTGAAGCCCCTAAGGGCCAAGTCCAGTATCCTTTCTACCCCTTCTACCCTCTGCCAAAGCCTGAAAACCCAACTGCTGCTCCAAGGCCTCCACAGCCTGATGCCCCTAAGGGCCAAGTCCAGCACCCCTTCTACCCTCTGCCAGTGCCTGAAAACCCAACTGCTGCTCCAAGGCCTCCACAGCCTGAAGCCCCTAAGGGCCAAGTCCAGCATCCTTTCTACCCCTTCTACCCTCTGCCAAAGCCTGAAAACCCAACTGCTGCTCCAAGGCCTCCACAGCCTGATGCCCCTAACGGCCAAGTTCAGCAGCCCTTCAACCCCACCCCGTTCTACACTTCACCAAAGCCTGGTGGCGTAGTCCCACAAGACCCTACACCTGTTAACTGCCCTCAGTTTTGCCCATCTGGATTTGATTATTGCTGTCCACAAGTTTCATTTCATCACCATTTCCATCAAATTATTCCTTTTGGACTTGGCAGTCAAGATGCAACTTCACTCTATCCAGGACCACCATACCTCCCTTCAGGTGCATATGCTGGTGTTGGCAATAGCTTGGGTTCTGCTCCCCTACCTCAAAAACCAACTGAAGCAATGACGATGCAAGCTTCCATAACTTCCACCTCTACAGTCCTTTCATCTCCGTCCCTTCAATCTGGAAATGCAAAGAGGCCACATCTTTCGCCACCAGATGGCAACCTTGCTCCACTACCAGATAATCCAAGCAAGCCTACACATCCTCAATGGCCAATTTACCCTTATGAGGTTCCATATTCTCTACCTCCTAATTGGCCATATCTACAACAAAACGAGGAGCTGCAGAATTTACCACAACTCCTATCACCAGCTTCCTACAATGTGCTCTCTAAACCACAGGCTCCAGATAGTAAACCAGAAAATCCAGTGCTGAAATATGAGTCGTATAATGTCCAGCCCCCAATGCAGCAAAATGTCCAACTATTAGGTTGGGACATGAATAATCCATCTGGGTCTTACTTTGCCCAATATCAACAGCAGCGTATAGGAAATATGCTTCAAGATGCTGAAGCACAAACTGATGACAAGCCGACGGACACCAGCATGTCTCAACTACAGCTATTATTGAGTGACTCAAAGAAGTCCACCAATCATGGACCGACTATGCACTCCGATTCTGAACCAAAGAGTTATGTACTGCTACAGCATGGCCCGCCAGGTAGGGAGCCTAACGGTTACAGTGACTCACCGCTGCCTTTTAGTGACCTGGTTCATGATGCAAACTTATTTGCACAAAATCTTGCAAGGCAACATGATCATAAACCTCAAAGTTTTAAGACCCTGCAGGAAAAACCCAAATTGCTGGTTAAAGGAATGTCCAATCCCTTACCCATCAACTACATGCCAAGGCCTGGTGATATAATAGCTTAATCATTGGTTATCGCTTTGATGACTCATTTCGGGCCTTTGCCCCAGGACCCTTAATTCCTTGCATCATTCAAAGATTCCTGGAGGCCCATGATGCCTCTAATTTCAACCAAATGATTCAATTTCATGTTCCAGGAAATGCATTTTAACAAAAGGACTCTGTAGCTGACCACCAAGCTAATGGTATGTTAAATTGATGGTTTAAAAAAAAAAATGTTGTAAGCGAGTGTCCGGGACTAATGTGTCTCTTGCAGGACTGAACCAACCTTTTCAGTGAGCAAGTGGAACTGGGAAGCAGAAATGTGTCATCTTCAAAGTGAATAAACGATTGAAACGACTACACAAGTGTTTTATTCTTCAGTTTTGGCTAAGGGTTGTGTTTTGGTAAGAGTGGGGAAAGGCAAGGGCAGTTGAGGACTTTTTTTTTTTTTTTTCTTTTTCTTTTTCCCCTCGTCTAGTTTGTCAAAAGTTGAATGCTTACCCTTGGTACTTGTTGACATCTACTTTTGATTTGGACTCGAAAGGTGCATTGCCCTTGTTGAACAAATTTTTCTTGCTTATTTTGGCTTGCCATGAACTGCTACTTCCTGAACATTGACCCATTCGTGCAAATACACTGACTAGAATTTCCCCGTTCATCAACAGTGTCCTTAGTAAGTACTCTAAAATCCTTTGGCGCTTGTTCCTCAAGAGATGTAAATCTTCAAAGTTTAGCTTCTATTCATACACTCGGTTTGGTAAAATATTGTCTTAAATTTGAACCTAAAAATATCATTACAAAACTGTAATTTGCATTAAGATGAGTATAGTGTTTAAATGATAAAATTCATGCAACTATGTGAACTGACACTGAAAACTGCCGGACCTTTTGGGTGTTAAATATATTTTTATAAAGGAAAGCTGTATTTGTGGAGAAGTCAATGGATTCACAGGAATGCCACTAGCATGAGTCAACACAACTGGCAAAAAGCACTTTGTTTTACAATCACCCTAAAGATGTGGCATGACTGATTTTAAATGCATTTCGGTACTAGTGTGTAGAGTCCTCATCCAACCTGTAAAAGGCCTTGGATAACTATCCTTGACTGCAACTTTTCAAAGTACTTTAGAAGTATTGAATGACATATTTAAAGGATGAACAATTTAAAAGTAAGAACACACAAAGCTTTGACTTGACATTTATTAATCAGAATCTAATACAAATCTTTTATATCCATTTTACAGAAATATCAAGAGTTTTGCAAAGCATGAGTGATTTGACAATTTTAAATGAGGGATTAGTGTTTGTAGGAAGTATATTGGTGTTGCATCTACCTACGGGACAAGGTTAATTATAGTCATCTAATCAAGTGCCAGTGTAGAAAGTATAGTCTCTTTGAGACTTTAAGAATCAAAGAATCTGATCCTTCCTGGGCACACTGGCACAAGAGCAATGGGGTCTGGTAGAGTCATAAGGGTGTCAACCACTGAAGAGGCGGGTGCAGCAAGTACATCTCTTTTCACCACAACAACGGGGACCTCGGCACTGGCTGAAGAATCTGAGGCTGAAGAATCTGAGGCTGATCCAGCGTCAACTGTTGGAGCTGGATCGGCAGCAGCTGGATCGGCAGCAGCTGGACCAGCCACGGCAGGGGCTACAGGTACCACTTCAGCTGACTCTGCTGATTCTGCTGACAGAAAGCCGCTTAGCTGAGGGTTATGGAAAGCCGTCAGTTTGTGGTGCCTCAGACCATGACTGGGTGACAGGCTGCCTCTGTCTTTGAGGGCCATTGATGGTGTGGCCAGAGCTGCAGTGCTGTTGGCATCTGCTACAGGGCTGTTGGCATCTACAACAGGGATCTGAAAGAGTGTGCATCAGCAGAGGCTTAGGAAAAATGATCTATATAATTGTAGTACAGTAATTTGGGATTTATTTTTGGCCAAGTTAAAATACGGTATTTTACCAGAGTTGAAAACATATTGCAGTCCACTGTGTGATCAGTGGTCAAACCTTTGGCAGAACAAATACCACGTGCCTGGTGGAGAAAAGACAAACATGAGTTTGAACCGTTTTCAGGTTTGCTTTGGTGACAAGATTTATTATATTCCTATATTTTTTGAAGCTCATCAGCAGGGCTAAAAAAAATATATATATATAAAAAAAATAAAATAGTGGAAAACTAAACTGGTGCTTTGTGTACTTACAGCCGTGGCGTCATGCAGGGGCACACAGGCATCATCAATGCAATTAGCCTCAACTACAACATATTCTGCGAAATAGATTGGCCCACCAGACACAACCTGAAACAAGGTATTGAGAAGTATTGATCTACTGACAAACAGAATATAAAACATGCAGGTCCAGTCAATTTTCTTTTTGGGGGGGGGGGGTTGGGCTCACCTGTGATGACATCCTTCCAACCTCCATAACAGCATACGTTACGTCAACAGTCCTGTTGTTGAAGGTTGCCAAAGAGGAGTGGACAAAGTCCAGAGCTGTGGTGTCATTTAGGGGAAGAAGGGTAGCACAGCCGAAGCACATGTCCTCTGTTGATTCTATATGTCATCAAAGAAAGACACATGCAGGTTTTTGTGTGTAGGGTGACACTTGTGTGGAATCTTCTGAATGTATGTAGGTGTCATATGGTTGAGTGTGATCACAATGTTTTACCTTCGGTTGTACACTTGAATGCTGTGACAGTCAGAACTCCGCCAACCTTCTTCAGCACCACATCACAGTCTCCTTCTATTGCCTGATTAGAGACACAGAATCAGTCCAAATAGCAGAACAGTCAATCTGGACATTTTCTATTACTATTTTATATCGTTATATAAAATCATCAATATCTTGAGACTTGGTTGAATATATGTAGCTGTGTATTAAAGCGTCTGTTTACTACTGGTATACAGTCTCACCGTCAATATTTTTGGCCTGACTGTGCAGTTGGCAAGAGGTGTGGGATCCAACACATGACAGTTTGTCTCCAGCAGTTCAACTTCCAGCACGTACGTGTTGTCTCCATCAGGCTAAGGGGAGATAAAACAATACATTTTTTGTACTATTCTTTTAAAATGTACCGCATCTGACAGTCATTTCACAGAATTCTGCTATATGTTGTGCAATTTCCACATAAACAGAGGCCCCGCGGGTGAAATGATCGGCTGTCATATTTGCATGAATGAAGATGCATAATGTAATTTCAAATGACAATGAAAAAATAGAGCATAGTTGAAATGTTGATTTTTAATCTTTTCAGGCCCCGACACACAAACTAGGAAAACACTTAGATGGATTGTGTCTTAGTTGGGTTGGTGACATAAAATAACACAATGGTAGGAAAGAAAATATGTACACTTTAAAACGTGCAATGATTAAGAGAATGTATAACAGAACAAACCAAAATGTACTACTTTATATATATAATGTACCACTTTATCTAAATAATGCAGTTCCCCTGGCAATTTAATAAAGTTTTAAGCTTGGCATATTTTTACAGGATGTGTTTTTCCTATTTTTATTATTCAGTGTTCATACAAAGTTGCACTTTCATATCACAGTTCACAGTTTAACCTTTCAAATTATGTGTTCCTATTATTTTTTGGCCTTGAGGAAATAAATGTGATTATTTTGTTATGTACTGCATCCCATGTTCCTGACTGTTGAAAAACAGGAGAAGAGAAAGGTTAACTACTTGTTTAAATGTTGTTTGCCTACAACTACACTCTAAACTCTACACTTGACGTACCTTAGTGTAGATCTTGATGTCTTCGATCCTGTTCAGTGCATACTTGTAGCCATGAGTGTGCTGGTCATTGAGGTAATCTTGAGCCACCAGAGCAGCCTCCTCTGCTTCAGAGGAGTCGCACTGCAGTTGTACCACAATAATCTGAGACAACACCCCCGCCAGTAGTCCCAGAATCAAAGTGATGCCCAGGAATTTCATTTCTGTAAGAAATGCACAGGCAGGAGTATCAGAGCAGTTAAGCAGTTGAGGGTAAGGAGGGGACGCTGGGCTCATGTAGCCAGGGGTGTATATATCCTGTACTTTAAACAGGAAACCGAGCCAAGTCAAACACCATGATCATCCCTTCTGACTGCATATGCCACTTGTGAGTCGTGCTCTGTTTTAGGATTGCTGCCAAAATAAATGTAAGTTGAAAGAGTTTAAATCAATAATAATTTGCTGTGTTTTATGGTGAGACATCTAAAAACATCTCACCCTATCTGTGATTTCCAGTTTATGGCTGTGACCAGATCTGAGATGAATATTTCTTGAGTTAAATACCATAATATGTGAAGAGTTCATGTTCAAACACCTGTATTGTGTAACCAGCAGGAGCTCAGAGTGACTTGATCATTGATCTTCAGCAAAGAGGATATTTGCCAACAGAAGGGACATAGTTGAGGGACAGGGACTCTCATTGCTGCCGCCCACTTATTTGCTTTGTATTTGACCATTTGCACAATACACAAGTGTCTCTCCGGGTCAGACCCAGGCTACTAACAGAGACACCGATGAAAAAATTACAAGTAAAAAGACCCACTTTGACGTTTGTGTATTGTTAGGGATTTATTTTTCTATTTTTCACAATATTTGAGATTGATGACTTTTACGGAATATATGAAGTTTCATCCCACTGCAAAAGGGTCAATATTGAGACACCATACATGCATGTGTCATTTTACTTTGAATGACAGTTATCCCCCATATATCCTGGTTATTAGTGCTGTAATTCAAAATGATAACAAGCTGTCAAACAAAACCGGTCTTCCTCCAAGTTTCAATCAGGTCTTTTTTGCTGGTTAAACGTGAAAGACAAAAGATGTTCTAAATAAATACAAGATGTGCATCTGCTTGCTTCATAGTTAGACTGAACACTTGCAGCACATACCTATTGTTTTGGTTACTGGTAAGAAAGCACCACTTCAATTGAAATGGAAACCACAAATTGGATGCTTTTTATGGGTATAGTTTTTGTACGTAGGACATAATTTGACTCGGCAAGGCAATGCTAAATATTAAAGCCAAACGAGGAAAAATTGCTTTCATAACATAGCTAAATGCTGGCATTGTCCCTCCCTCTGACAACTCTTTCTCAGTCAAGTCTGATTGGTCGGCCCAAGAGTGACGCATTCCATACGCGACTCAATGTGCAATGTATTGTATACATGATGCTAACTGCGCTGCAGGTTGAGAGGATCAAACAGCTAAACATCGTCTCTTGAATTTAAAGTACATTATTCTCCAGGCAGTAGACGTGGTGGACGTTAATGAGAGCATAGTTCATCCCACTCCGACGTTTCAATGAGGCAGTAACGGTAAGCTAGCAGCTTTGTTACCCGCAGTGGTGGTGCCAGTGAGCCTAGCTACGTTAGCTAATGTAGCAAGGCTGTTTGCGTGGAAACACGTGTGAAGATAAGAACGTACCAGACTGGTAAAAACTGAGTGTGGAGCAATTCAAATGATCACGTTTGTTAGGTAACCTGTGTGGGGACACGTGTTGCAAAACATTTACAACCTTTGAGGATGCATTGATAATCTTCAGAAAAATCTCAGAATCTGCTTACCAGGCAAACTATGTGTAGCTTTATTTAAAAGTGAGATGAAACTATGTGGGAGCCCTGTCTATAGTAATACATCCATTCTGTATTGCAGGAGTTGTTCAGGTTGTCAATCACTCTGCTGAAGAAGCCACCAGAGGACATCAGAGTAGGCTTTGAAAATCCTTTTCCGGTGTGGGTGAGCATCCAATAAGTCCACAGTGGCTCAGCTGGCCACATCTGACTTGAAGTATCAAGGGAATCTACATCCTTTTCTTAAAGGGACATTAGAGACGATGGACCATGGCCTGGACGAAATAGCAATCTGTTTCAGCTCTGCTGCACACGAGCTGTCGGACTTAGATCTGCCTTTCCAGCGGCTGAAAAGATACCCACAACGCTCTCATGTGACCCTCCATCGTCCACTCTAACAAACCTTTTCCTAGATGCATCGGACACAGAGCCACCGAGGCAAAGCAAAATACCTCAAGAAAAAAAAGGGATTCCTGTCTTCAGTCAAGGGAGTTTCTCATCTCTCCAGGCGAGCCAAAAGACGCATGTGTTGTAAATTGCAGCTTTGGATGTGGAGAAAGCGGAGGGAGAAATTTCGTTTTGGGTTTTTCAGAGCAAAGAAAAGACCTTGTGGAATCAGCTCTGACCCTTGCGACGGTGTAGAGACCCAATCACAGCAAAATAAAAGCAAAGTCCCAATGTACCACACACCAAACCTAGAAGATTCAGTCAGAGCATCCGTTCTTGTGTCACCTCTCGGATGTGATACTGGAGATTCAGACTCGCTCGGAGGACAGAGTTCCCCGCTGAAGCTTTGTCACTCTGTCAGTCTGTCAGAAAAGTTGATCGCTTCCAATTCCATGCACAACCTGGTTATGGACACAAATGTTTCTGCGAGTGACAACGGTCAAATCGTGCCCGCAGCAACGCTGCCGTCTCAGAAAACTGAAACGTATGCACAACTCAGTGGAATTACAGACCCTTTACAACTTTGTCACACTGTCAGACCCCCGCTGAGTACAGACAGCGATGCGTGTGTGTTAACGGCACGTGTTAAAGAAGCGAGGACAATGGTACCAGTTCAAAGGCTCGAGGTCGACGGCCCATCGGGACAATTCACAACTGTCCCTCCAGGTCAGGACCAGGCTACAGATAGAGACACCGATGAGAGAATCACCAGTGAAAAGACTTCTCAAACTGATATCAGCACACTGAGAAAAGAAATCCACGGTGTATATACATTTTCACTTTTATAAATTTTCCCCATTATCTCTGTTTTTCACAGCTTTTTGAGATAAAAATGTTTCCATGCCTTTTTATAGAATTTCTTGAGGACTTCTACAGAATATATGGATGTTTCATCCCATTACACAAGAGAGACGTGTTGAGACATCTGGAGAGGAAGCTCAACACTGATTTCAGCGACAGGTACATTTTGTCAAACATCTGAATCTCACTGTCTCGAATCACTTTGCGTGATGAAAGCCTCTTATCGCAACATCGGTTATTACCAGCCACAGCAGCATGTGTCGGGTATTGTTTGTGTGTCATCATGGCAAAAGATGGGCCTGGAGACGCCTACTGTAGCGGGAACGACCACAGAAGCGGTTCGGGTAGAAAGGGTAGAGAGTGGGGGAATCTGTCATGATTTTATCCCTGGACCAATTATATTTTATTTTTCTGTCTATGCAGGAAAAATGTCATCTTCTCAGAAGTTATCAAATACCGAACTGCCATTGTTCAGAAGCCTGTTCCCTCCTTCCAGGTGGTCTACAAGAAACACACACTGACACTGGATGACTTGTCAACACTGGCAGATCAGAACTGGCTCAACGACCAGGTCATCATCTAACACGCCAAGACTTCAGTCTCTCTCACGCTTTGATTGTTCATCCTGGATGTAACTTTTACTTACTAAATGTGACTTGTGTTTCTGCCTCAGGTCATGAACATGTATGGGGAATTAATTCTGGAAGCTGCCCACCACAAGGTAATCTTCTACGTAGATAGCGTGTTTTTTTTAATTCTCTCATTATAACTGGAACACTAGATGAGTGACGTTTTTACCTGCCAGTGTTATTGCTACTAATTAAAGGAATGGTTTGACATTTTCCTCACATTTTGGAAAATACGTATATTTGCTTTCTTACCACCTCTGAGTAATATGAAACACATTTTTCACAGACAGATAATTTGTGTAAGATTGGAATTCTTCTTAATCTCCTTGTTGTCCCACCTCTTAGGTCCATTTTCTCAACAGCTTCTTCCACAGGCAGCTCATGACTAAAGGCTATGACGGTGTTAAGAGATGGACAAAGCAGGTCAGGTCTAACTTGGTGTAATGATTCTGTGATTTCTAAAGTGAGAATAGATTTACATATTTCTTTGACAAAAACTGTTTGGCATACTATGACTTTTTTGTGACACATGCTATGAAGTTTTGATGATTTTTGTCATGGCCTGTGACTTTTTTATGACATTTTCAACAAACTATTCTGACTTTTTTTTTACATACACCATCATTTTTTATGTCCTTTTTTTTTTTTTTACATACTACACTGACTTTTTTCGACATAGTATAGAAATGACTTTTTTACACTTTGACCTTTTTATTACTTTTTCATGTTATATTATACTATAACATTTATTGACATTTAAATGATACTATACTATGACTCTCCATGACATTTTTAAGACGCACTATAACTTTTTTCTGACATTTTTATGTCGTACTCTATTACTTTTGATATGACATACTTTGATGTGACTTTTGTTGTTATACCATACTATGACATTTTATATCAAATACATTACTTTTAAACATGTTTTTTTTTTTTACTTTTTAAGATATACTATAATATGACGTTTTAAAGGCATTCATATAGCATGCTATGAGTTTTTATGAGATTTCATATGACATGCTATACAATGTCATGAAATACCACGTGATGACTTTTTATGACATGTATACTATGACTTTTTAATATTGTTATGACATACCTAATGTTTCTTTTAACCCTTTCTACCTTGCACAGGTGGATTTGTTTTCAAAGAGTTTGCTCTTGGTGCCCATCCACCTGGAGGTTCACTGGTGTCTGGTGACAGCTGACATTGACAAAAAGAAGATCTGCCTTTACGACTCTCAAGGAAACGCACTCCAGAAGGTTGCAAGGGTAATTTTATGTTTGTTTGTTTTGTTTTTGTCACTCTTAACAATCTACATAAACATTTCAGCGTGTTGAAATCTGCTTTACATAGTAAAACTATGTTTCTTATGATAGAACATTCTGAAATACTTGATGACCGAAGCAAAGGAGAAGAAGCACACCGATTTTGAAAGCGGTTGGGGAGTGTCATACGATGAGGTATTGTCTTTAGGTCTCATAGGCTGTCACGGTAGACGACAACATTGAGTGGCACGAGGAATAAAACATGGCTGATGGTGATGTGTTGTCTCCCCCTGCTGCCCTCTACAGATAATCCCACAGCAGACCAATGAAAATGACTGTGGAGTTTTTGTCTTGGAGGTAAACAACATGCTTTTCAATCTTCAGTTATGGTGTCTAATTGTTTGAACTCATCGCATACTAACTGCATGCTCTATGTTCTTTACAGTACTGTAGATGCCTTGCTCTGGCAAAACCGCTGCAGTTTTCACAGCGGGACATACCAAAAATACGCAAGAGGATCTACAGAGAGCTCTGTGACTGTAAGCTCCATGAGCAGGCCTGACGCCTGTCTTTCAGTAGTGTGTATGTATTGCTGATAATATGTTGCCGTTTCTGATGATGGTGGGAAATCAGAGCAGAAGCTCTTCAACAGCCTTCCAGCACTGCGAGTGCCATGGCCGACCCTGTAGTAGTGTCTTATATCAGGTGCGCTGGCCATGCTGAATCTTTGTATGATAACTGTATTCATATGATCAGTAATTAAACAGGAATGTTTTTAAAGAAAACTATCTTCATGTTCCTCTTAGACTTTGAGAGTTTACACAGCTACAGTGCACCAACAGAGCCTTCCCGAACGGACTGCCTCTCTGAGTGGATCTCATCTGTCGGGGTCCGTGTCTAAGTGTGTTACTTACTTTCTGATATCTGCTCTCCTCATTTGCACATTTTCTTAGTCTAGTTTTGCTTCGTGCGATATTTGTTTGCATCATAGTTTACCTGTAAGCACCAGATGAATAAATAGAGGCCATTTCTTATTTTGTTTGTAAAGAAAGTGAAGTTGTCCCACTGGAATCGTTTGTTTGCAGAACGGGATTGTGAAGTTGTTAATGAAACCAGACGATTTGCAAACATTTCAAGAATTTTATTTTATGTTTTCATTTACAGATCAGGTTTTGTATGGACTGTAAACAGAATAGCCTTCATCATTTAGATGAGGGTAAATGGATATTTGTAAATACACATCTTCCTAGCTATAGACAGGTATGTTATTCATATACAGTAGATGATAACTATGTGAGTGAGTCCCTGAACAGTTATAAAACATACACGGATCAGAAAGCAGTGCCTCAGATAAAAAGGAAATTTAATGTTCAAGAAAGACTAATTTTGTAGTTTTCAGAATGGGAACCAGAAAAAATGTATAATTAATAATAAATATGGTGCAATATTATTAACTCATAGCATGATTTTTCTAATATTTTTTAAAAATCTACTCCAGTGTGACCCTCTACTAGACTAAGTTTAATGCAGTTCATCATATACACATTCAGGGGCCTAATCGTTGACGTGGAATCCCCACACTCAATTTCTGGTTCATCGTCGAGACGAATCACGAGGTAGGACACCAGCTGGAAGAAGTTCTGCCACAGGCCCAAGAGGAGGTACAGATGGAGATCGCTCACGTCCATTTAGCAGTGTGTCCCTGTGTAATCTCAGAACTGTTCACGTAGTTGAAGAAGCCTGCGTTCATCGGGTCCGAGGCACATTCATACACATCGTTCTCGCAACTGGAGGGAGACATGGGACAGAAGGGTTGTAGAACAAAAGGAAAGGAAAATGCACCATGTACAACATAATTGTAGAGTTAGGGCCAGCTCTGGCACTGAACGGTCCCAAACAAGCTGTTATCTGTCACAAGGGACACTGGTTCAGGCCTAGTGGTGGTCGACTATTCTTAAAGCTATGAAGAAAGACAAAGTCGTGGGAAATGTAAACATACCTGTGGTATTGTGCTGTAAATGTCTGAATGTGTTGAAAATGACAGCATTATTTTGGGGATTATTAAAGTCTTGGGAGGAGCAGAAACCAGCTCGAAAGACATCACCTTTTCAGATGTCTTTTTCAACATACTATACTATGACTTTTTTCGACATATTATACCATAACTTTTTAAAATTATTTTGACATGCTATACTTTGACTTTTTTATGACTTTTTCTCTACATGGTATACTAATGACATATTTTAAACTTCGACATAATATACTATGACTTTTTTTGGACATACAATACTTTGTCGAAATACTTTACGATGAATTTTTGCAACACAATATACTATGACTTTTTCACAAACTGGTACGAGGGACAGTCTTTCCCCATAAAGCAGTACATAAAGCAATTTGGATATCACCTAATCACATTACAGAAAACCAGATTGACCACATAAGAATAAACCGAAAGTTCAGGCATTCTCTTCTTGATGTACAAGTGAAGAGGGGAGCAGACACTAGGTCACCTACTGACAGCAAAAATACAACCCAAGCTGCAGCAATGTAACAACTCCGGAGGCACTAGAGTCAAATTCAATATCAAACTATTCCAGGACATAGAAACAACTAAAATGTACCAGATCACCTTAAAAAACAGTTTCCAAATTTTATTTTATGTTTTCATCGTACACATCAGGTTCTGTATGCACTGCATGCAGAATAGCCTTCATCATTTATATTAGGGTACATTTATAAATACACAACTTCCTAGCAACAGACAGGTATTCTATTCATATCCAGTAGATGATAACTGTATGCGAGTGTGTCCCTGAACAGTTAAAAACATACACTGATAAGAAAGCAATACTCCGGATAAAAGTGGAAAATGAATAAGGCACAAGACAAAGTCTCTAATATGGTTTTCACTATGAGAACCATATCAAATGTATGAATATATATACTGTATGGATTCATTCATATTCATTAGCAAACACATCTGTTCACAGCGGACACAATTCTATAACTGGCCTCGTCAGTATACTAGATATAATAAAATACAGTTTCACACATAATGTATATTTACTGCAATTGTCCTCCTTCTCTTCTTGTGAACTCTTTAGTTTTTAATAGAGTTGGGATCAAAAAAATGACTTTAATGGGTTTAACTTCATTTGAGAGAAAGATGTTTTGGCTCCGTCCTCCCTTTAGTATGAAGCTTCACAGACCGACTGATGTTCTGTGTGCAGGTTCTTGATCACACATTACATGATTTTTGGGAACTATATTTGTTGAAATGTACTCCAGTGTGACTCTCTACCTCGACCAAGTTTAGTCCAATTTGATAATAATAGAGAGTCAAGGGCCTAATCGTTGACGTAGAATCCCCACTCAATTTCTGGCTCATCGTCGAGGCGCATCACAAGGTAGGACACCACCTGGAAGAAGTTCTGCCACAGGCCCAGGAAGAGGTACAGGTAGAAGTCACTGACGTCCATTTGACAGTGTACTCCTGAGTAATTCATATCACACACGCACTCAAAACTGTTCACGTAGTTGACACAGAAGCCTGCGTTCATACACGGGTCCGAGGCACATTCATCCACATCCTTCTCACACCTGCAAGGAAACATAGGACAGAATGAAAGCAGGATATTAACTCTATTATTTAGCTCTGTTTTTGGTCTACACCAACTCCTGTGGAAAATATCTGGCTCCTTAGCTGCTAAGTGTTTCACCGTGTTCACCAGTTAGCTGCTAACTTTGTCTGCAGTTTGGTGCTGAACAGCATACAGTGAGCTCCCTGCTACATCTAAAAACAACACTGATAAGAGCAGTGAGAGTGAAGGAAAACAGTTAAGTTGGAGGCTGTAAAGTCAAAACAATGAGCTGAATGACACTAAAAACTCTGTTGAACAGAGGGGAGCTACAGAGTTGGGTAATCATTTTCTGTTGGTTTGTCAATTCAAGCAGTAGTAGCCATTCAATCCAATGATAATATCAAAACATTGACGATAGCAGCTTTAAGAACAGGCCCGGCTGGGTTTTGACAAGCTTTTCTGGCTCATGACCCTGATTTTAGTTCCCATGATTCTCATGTGAACAGGTATTTACAAATAGATTTTACGTCAATGATGCTGTATTTAAAACCTATAAAACTATTCCGATACATTTTTTCAACATCGACACTGGGTGACTTTGTCTGTGTTAGCGACTCCATGTGGGGCCATTAGGTTCTGACCCCCAGGGTTGAGAAACCTCGAGGTCAGCAAAGACGATTAAATAGAATTATACATGTCCTACCACTGTCCCGTGAAACCAGACATGCAGTAACAGCTGTCGTCTGCTTCTGAGCAATTTCCTCCATTAAAGCAGCTGTAGTCCCATCTTGTGCCCGTGCATGTAGATACAGGCAACTGAGGAAGACTTAACAAATAAAAGAACACAGAAAGAAATGTCAATGGCCTCCAGCTTGGCACTGGTTGATTCAATATGTACTGGGTTAAGTGAAACAATGGAAGTGTGTTTATTTTCAATATTTTATGGAAAAGCACTCACGGATTGGTCTCAATATACCATGGGATTTCAGGAATTTTCTCCCTGTAAGAGACCATTTTGTAAATCAGTACAGCTCAGAGCTCATATACCGATTACAAGTGTATGCTCCTGTAAGCTTTATGTCACGGAGATATTGACAAATGTGGACGAACTTACTCGCAGTATTCTCCCGTCAGATTCTGAGGGCAGAGACAAGTGTAGCTATTGAAACCTTTGAGGCACGAGGCGCCTTGGCTGCAATTGCTGTTTTCACACATATCAACTTCCACCTCGCACTGTTTACCACTGTACCCCAGCTCACACATACACATGAATCCCCCGTGTAGGTTGATGCAGTTGCCATAGATGCAGGGGCTGGAGATGCAGGTGTCTGTTGGGTCTTGACACAGTGGCCCCGTCCACTCAGAGGGACATGTGCAGTGGTGCAGGTCAAACAAGTCCTCACACACACCCTCATTATTACAGGGGTTTGGTGCACACACACTGGCTCCCCAGCAGCCGTATCGTGGGTCAGCGTTGTGGTTTATCCTCGCAAACTGCTCCTCCTGAGGTCTGGGGAGGTTCAACTCTGTGTTCAAGTAGAAAGGGAGGGGAAGGCCTCCAATCTCCACCGCGCCCAGACAGCCGGTTAGGTTCACTCCGGTGTCCATGCTCAGTCCTCCCAGGAAAATGTCTGCTCCCTCCCTAAGAAAATCCAGGTTCCCCGCAGCTGTTTTGGACATGTTTAGCTCCTTCTTGCCTCCATCCACAGCCAAGATCCACCTGGAAGTCGGGAGTGTCTGGTCCTCCATGCTGAGCTCCACAGTGTGCCACTCTCCATCACTGTTTGGACCCTTGCTTGGAACTGTAACCTTGTAGAAATCCTTGCCAGCCCCAGACTGGAGCTCCATGACCAAATGAGCATTCAGGAGGGAGACAGTGAGGTAGTCGGTGTCTTTCTGTGCATGCATTAAGGTGGCAGTGGACTGTCTTGTGCGGAAGCTGAGGGAGACGCTGCTGAGGCTGCGCTTAATCTTCCCATTGCTTTGGTAGTGCAAAATACTGCTTTCAACCCGAAATGTCACATTAGACAAACCTGAAGGAGAGAAATGGAAGAGACTTAATGAGCTGAAATGAAAACTATTACATGTAGTTTTACCATTCATTTTCAATCTATTCCAGTGCCAGGACATAGTCCCCATTCTTACTATAATCACCATTATAGTTAAAGCCTCTGAAAACTTGGTTTCAAAACCTTAAAGAGTCACTTAACACCAGGCTGTAAAGCAGTTATTTCCCTCTCAAGTTGAACATTTCAAGTTGCATTTGTAACCACTTCCAACGGTGATGTCACAGTCCTACAGTACATTGTTATCACTGCAGGAAGTCAAACAGTTAAACCAAGAGGAAGTCATCAAAGACAAGATTTTCAGTGGGTGTTAATTTAGTCTTTAAGGTTTTATCAATAATATTTAATCCTCAAAAATATGTTTTTAGGGACTTTAAACTGTTTAAACAGGGACGTTAAAAATATATATATTGTCTGTTTTGTCTAAAGTGCACAACAGACAAAACAAGCTGCAGGTACACTGCATATTGTGTCATCAGCTGGGTCATTGGTGGCGATGTGACATTGAGGAATCCACAAAAAAAAGAGAAAAAAGGCTTCCAAAATATGTCACGCAAAAGAGAAAAAGAGGAGAAGTGAAAAGGGGCCGCTGAATGCAGAAAAGTGAGAAAACTTAATATATGCTAAGTATGTGTGGAAATACAGGCACTTATGAAAAACGTCTTTGACTGGCAGCTTCTCTGGATCAACAGCTCCTTTTCTCTTTGTGAAGATGTGACATCTCCAGGACATCATCAACTTCCACAGGCATGTGGTCTTAATCTGACCAGGGATTACAACGCCTTAGAGGAATCCTGTGTAGGATCCCTGCCTCGAAGCTGTTCTCTTCTGTAATCAGTCACACTGTAATTCATCAGAGCCGGCACCAGTGAGACTGTGGAGAGTCCCTCCACTGGATACAAACCAAGATCAGAAATGGGCTATGAAAGGCATACACATTTATTATGGATCCTCTTTCTTGGCAATGTTTTTTTACGTGTAAGGGTGGCTGTACACATAATATTATTTAAAGCATATTCCTCAGCCTTTCGTAGACAGTCTCTGAGACTTTTTTATCCAGTGTTCTTTTAGGACAGGAATAGTGCAATGACAGGTCCTCATCTCAGGACACTTACACTCGAAGCCCTGAGAGAGGGGTTGACAAACAGCCGTGGCGGGGCAGGGAGACAGCTCACACCATTTCACCTCCTCGCAGCGCTGCCCTGCAGTGTTGGGGGGGCAGTTACAGGTGAAATCGTCCCACATGGAGTAACACACTCCCCCATTGAGACAGGGGTTGACCTTATGGAGAGAAAACATTCCAAATAAATCAAGACTAGCCTCTCGTCACAAGCTTATTAAAGACAAAGAATTGAACTCACATCACAGGCATTGTCACTGCTGCATCCTTGTGCAGCGTTGACGAGTTGCTCCAGGCTGTAAGATTCCACTGGAGTTGCGATGGGATAGAACTGCAGTCGCTTGCTGTTAATCCTCAGATCCTGGACACATCCCTTAAAGTAGCCACCAAACGAGGCAGAGGCCCTCGAGTCTGGTAGCCCCCCAACGAAAACCAGATCCCCGGGATGGGTCTGGATGGGCCTAATGGGCGTAGAGCCCCAGCTCTGGGCTGAATGGAACAACATGGCTGCCATTCCTTCCAGCTTCACAGTCACCAGATGGAAATGGCCGTCACTGACCGCGCCCCGACCAACGAGGGTCTCAAAGTTGTTGACCTGAACTTTAACCCTTCCCTCTTCCAGCCACAGGCGGAGGTACTGGCTTGTGCTGTTGGCCAGTATGAGGAGCAGGCCTCTGGATTGTCGGGTGCGAATGAACATGGATATAGTCACAGTATCATTTGGGTCATCGTCCAATGAGAAGACAGCATAACTCTCCAGGTCTTTTTTTCCAAACCTTGCCGTTATATACTCTGCATGGGCACAGGGAAGAGAGAGAAAAAGCCATGAAAGTCAAACTTAAACAAAACCTGTTGAAAAGCACTAAAACAAATAGTATGACAAAATAGGAGGATTGACACCACTCTCATGTCTGTCCATTAAATAGGAAGCTACATCCAGCAGCCGGTTAGCTTAGCTTAGCACCAGTCTGCACCTGGCAACTGCTAAGAGAAGACAATAGTCCAGCACATAATCCCTATAAAACGGCAAATTGTTGGTTTTACCCTTTGTTTCTCGAACAGTCAAAACAAATTAGAAACACCGTGTTAATAGAAATATTCCCCCCCTGTTGCAAGTTTGTTAATGCAGGAGCTGATGGGAAGCAAACAGGGCTGTTTCATTGCCATGCTGTTTAACAACAGCATGGCAATGAAAAGGTCTATACAATCTAAGCTAGCCTGCTGCTGGTTGTAGCATCCTCGCAATGGACAGACATTAGAGTTGTATTGATCTTCTCATCTATCTCTCTGCCAGAGAGCTAATACATGTAAATTCCTGCAGTTATCAATTTCATGGACCATAATCCTTCATCAACTTAATGAGAGCTTGTTTTGACAGACAGGTGAGGTTGTAGTCTATTTCCAGCTTTGCTTTGACAATGAATAATGCTCTCTGTTCATTGAAAAGAAGAAGCCTCTGAGAAAACCAACCAACAAAAATCCTTCTGCATTGCGTGATCCACATGACTCCCTAATTTGTCAACGTGAAAGCATGCCAGGTGAGCTCCAGAAACCACGTTTTTTTAATCCTCAGACCAGGCGTTGCTGAATGCCTTCTAATCGCATGGCTGTTTGGCTGAACACAGTGCTATTTCTACTGACTCCGTAAGCTCCTTTAAAGTCTACAGACTAATTTTATTATCCTGCTGGGAAGCTTTCTAGCTAGTATTGAGGTATCTCCACTGAGGTTGAACTTGATTTGACCTATATACCTGTTTTTACAGCATATCTTCCAGTAATAATATCTGGAAATTTGCCATTTGAATGCCGCAATTAAAGGAAAAAAGACTTCACACGCATTTCAAAGTCAGTCCAAACATTTCTAGAACTCATTTAAAACATATGAGACCTACACATCAAACACAAACACATCATACAGTTTCATCATCCTTGAAGAGTCTTGTCGGTCATAGCTCTACTATTTCATAAATGAAACATGTCGCGTACAGGTGCCAAAAGTGGTGATGCCTCCTCAGAGCATAAAAACAAAGTTAAGCCCTCATTTTGAGTGGTAACTTAAGTTGACTCTGGTTTTCTCAAAGGAAAGAAGCAAAAACAAAGATAAGATTTTGAGTACTGAACCTCCTGGTTGCATTAATCTTGTTTCAACGAATTTGAAATGACTTGCAGCGAAGATAGTGTGTGTGAACATCTTACCATCTGCACAGTTGTTTCCCTCATATGGCCTGTGGCACTCACACATGTAGTTCCTCCAGCCCTGGCTGACACAGCGCCCTCGGTTCTGACACGGGCTGTCATCGCACTTGTCTTTGTCGCTGCATCCCACAGTGATGTTTTTCTGGACGTCTGAATCTTCTGATATTATAGCAGGCAACACCAGATGTGAGTCCACAAACACATCTCTGAAGCAGCCCAGAAAAGAAGGTGGGTAGTCGGCTTCATCAGCTACTCTGCCCGAACCCCAGTTCCCACCGACTTCTCCTATGAAGAGGCTTTGACGAACTGTTCCTGGCTCGGGGAGAGCAGAGGCTTGCTCAAGCAGCTGGACTCTAGCGCCGGAGTCTCTGGTGCAGCTTCCTTCAGTGCAGAGCAGCCTGATGAGGCTGACCACGCCACCCAGAGATGCTTCAACTGTGTGCCACTTGTTGTTGGACAAGTACTCTGGCAGCTCCTGAACCAGCGTGCTGGAGCCTTGACCTCTCAGACTGAGGAGGGAAAGATACCCGTCCATCAGCTGAATGCTGAGAAGCAGGTCGTCCACTCTGCGCTGCAAGAGGGTGCCGACCGGTCCTGCTGTCCTGAAGCTGAATGTCACATTGAGAGGAACCTCTTGGTCTAGAAGCTGAGTCTCTATGTACATGAAGCCTCGGGACTCAAATGAGAAGACGGTGGGGGTCTGGCATTGAGGGCCCGTGAAGCCAGCAAGGCAGATGCATGTGTGCTGATCATTAGCAAGTAAGGGGGAGCATATTCCTCCATTCTCACATTGGTTGTCATCACACCCTGAAAGTGCAGTTGTGCAGTTCTCTCCTCCATATAGGCGCCTATTTTGGCGTTGTTGGGAGCAAAGGCATCTGAAACCTCCACTGTGGCTCTCACACAGACCACCATTTTGGCATGGCTGCTGTTCACATCCGTTGATGTCCTCATCGGAGAAAGTGCCTGAAGAGAAAAATACAATACAATATTAACTTATTAAAAGCAATCTATCAACGAAAATGTAACTGCATGCAATTTTTTAACATGTGTCAGTAAGGTTCAGCACTTAATCACAAACAGTGTATCCAAGCATTACCTGCATAAAGCAACCACAACATCCACACTTGCGCACTGAATCTCAACATTGTCCTTAACAAGTCCTCCAAATGAATAGATGTTTGGCGATATCCTAATTTCAGTCAAAGACAGGAGGGGAGCTCTTGTCTGTGCAGCTCCATCTTCAGCTCTGCTCCTCCGCCATGCATGAGCTCACTGAAATGCTTGGAGCGGTGCAAGCCAGATAGGACGGATTAGGCTAATGGACTTACAATGTCTTGTGTTTGCAATGCGTGAGGTTCACCCGGGGAGGCTAATTCGAGCAACTCCAAAAAGAGATGATTAACCTTACCTGAGCAGAGGCAACACCTGTAACTTTATTACAAATTCAGTCTTCTGTAGAAGGAAATATGCCCACAATTGATCTAAAACATGGACATAAACTTAAAATACACGTGTGCACATGTATTACGGAGCGTGTCCTCAGATATTTGGCTGCAGCAGTTGTTTGGACCGAGGCCCAGTCTTTCAAAGAAGTACATTGGTGGATCTAATCTGAGAAGTATCTCTGTCATTAAAAAGTCACTGACATCACTAATTTGAAGAGCCCTAAGAGCATTCTATCGGCTCAATGGTAATACCTACGGTTCTTTTAGTGTTACTTGTTTTGCAGTTGCTCTTGCTCTAGATTTATAATGGCACCGACTGTATGTAATGGCCAAGGATTTGTTTATTTTTTAAGTATGTGTAAATAGCACATGTATTTTCACATATATTTAAATCGATACACCTTAATACATCATAAACCTTAAGTTAAGTGTAAGAGCAGTGATTGAATATGTAATCAAATATTTTACTTCAATAAAAGTAGCAATACTACAGTTTAAAAGTACTGTGTTACAAGTTTTACTCCTGCAATCAAAATCTTACTTAATTAGAAGTAGGTAAGGGCTATCAACAAAATATACTTAAAGTTTAGGAGTAAAATAACTCGGGTGTGGGCTCTTTCAGTGAAACATAACTATATAAAATACTACTAGATTATCATTAGTGATGTGTTAACACATGTAAGCAACATACACATGTTGTAACCAGATACAGTGGAGGTAATGGAACTAATTTTATATAATGTTGGGTGGTTTCCGGTTCTGTATAACAGTGGAATGTATTTCACATGGTCATATTTTTAAAACATTAGTTTGCAGTAACTAAGTAAAATACACTCCATTTCCCTTTAGTGGGGTAAAAGTATGAAGTCACAACACTTTAAAATACTAATATTATAGGTTACGTACAAGTAGGACTACCTCAGGATTGTACTTAAGTGCAATAGTTGAGTAAGCCTTTATGTGTTTAGTTGCTTTGCACCTATGTACTGAGCTCCAAAACTGGTTGGTAATAGCCAGAGAACGTATAATGAAAATATAGAGTATTATTAATTATACGGATTTGGTTATTGCTAATAGAAGAACGGTACTAGCTTTCAGACTACATTTCCCATGATACCCTCGTCTAATGAACCCTCTCGTGAGCCTTATGATACTGCTCGACAACACGTCCTCCTCATTTAATTCGTGTTTGACTTTTCATGCTTTACATACACAATTAAATAACAACGGTATCTCAACGTTTGATTCTCGCGCTCTCTCTTTATTTTGGACCTATGTGTATGCCTGTAAACAAGAGCGTTAGAGGACAAAAGCCGAGAGAGCCAATGGGCTGACGGTTTGTTACGTTGTCCGATATTTTTTCCAGGATGGACGGTGGGGCGTTACACTTCTGAGGGAACTGTTATTCCTCCGTGTATTTTCCACACTTCTTGTCAACAGGAGCGTGCAGGTCTTTGTAAAAGCGGCTCGTATTGTTAAGGTAAGATTTTGTTTTAAACGCCCCGATAAAAGGGTTAGACGTCAATTTCCGGGAAGCAGCTAGGGTCGTTTGTCAACACTCTCCTCGGAGGGGGGCCCGTCCGTCAGACTGTAACATCAACGTAAGGGGTCCTTGAGGTGGAGACACGATACGCATCAATAACGTTAAACGTCTTGGCCGTTAGGAATTCAGTAAGGTTACTGAATAGATTACTGTCATGTCTCCGTCAGGCCTGTATTGTGAGAAACTTAAAGTGCTGATAATAATTAGCTATTCGTTATGCTTTATTTTAATAAATGGGCGAAATGTACCTCGACCAACCGTTCGCAATACTTCCCAGTCGTGCCTCTTTTCATGCCCATTGTTTTTAACTTCTCACCACAGCGTCCCCTTGATGTCCGCTTCATGCTGTTAATACTATTGTTGTGTTGTTAAAGTCAGCTACATGTACGTGCTAAGCCACTTGTGTACCCTCTTGTAGGTCACTAGCTTCTCTATTCTGATCAAACCTCAGTCATTGAGAGGATGAGCACGGATGCCTGTTCAATCTCAGCATTGTATTCCTCTGGTTTTTCAGGTGTGATTGATGGTCGCCCAACAGACCCAACAATGAAAAAAAAGCCTTGTAATCCGCTGCGTCCCAAACGCAGCAGGCAGGTCAGTGCCAGCAATGACTCTGCCACAGTGCCGGGCAGCACCGGGCTTGGCTCCAGAGCCCAACCAAACTCTGAAACTGTCCCAGAATCGGCCTCACAAATCAGGAACCTGGCTATGACGCAGCACAGTCACAAGCTCCTCGAGTTCATGAATGAGGACCGGACCAGACAGAGGTTCTGTGATGTGTCGGTGTCAGTGGGTGGGAGGCTCTACAGTGCCCACAAAGTGGTGCTGGCCCATGGGAGCAGCTACTTCCACGCTGAGCTGTCCAAGAACCCTGCTACAGCGCATGTGACTCTGGACCACGTGGAGGACTCTGTTTTTCAGCTCCTGCTTGGCTTCTTGTACACCTCCGAGTGCGCTGTTGCAGAGACGGACCTTCCAGCTCTAACTGAAGCGGCCCAGTTCCTGGACATGATGGATATACTCAAGCTGCTGTGTGAAGAAGGGGACAACAACGCAGTACGTGTGATCCAGGCACAGGATGAGATAAGAGGGTCGCCCGAGGTGGAAATGACCTCCAGTGACTCGCCAGCAGGTGACATAGATATCCGGAGCCCATGTTATGTTCAGTGCACCATGTGCAGTCGCCAGTTTCCCACTGAAAACTCCCTGCAGATCCACGTGGTTAAGAGTCACCCTGATGCACATCAGGAAACCTCAACTGAGAACGAGAAGACGGCAGCTCAGAGAACTGCCACCACGCGGAGATCGGCTCGCAGGAGGAGAACACCCACCAAATATCAGAGAGACAATGTGGAGCACACTGTCAACACGGTATCACCAAGAGAGCAAGATGAAGAAGGAACGGAAGAAGCAGGAAAGATGACTGCGGAAAACCAATTGTCCAAGATGGATGCGAACGAGACATCCAAACCAGCTCAGGGGGAGGATGTAGTGGACGAGGAGGAAGAGGACGGAGACATGGATGAAGACGGGGTTGCCCAAAGGAAAGTCGTTGAGGTTTTTGCTGGAGACAAGAGCGCAGGTCTGCAGGTTTTAGATTTAGAGAGAGCAGAGCAGCAGGCTGATGGAGAGGTGAAGGTGCATGTGCCAGCAGCAGGAAGCTCTACCCAGAGTCCAGTGTACCCTGAGGGTCTGGCTCCAGTCATCATCCAAACCTCCAGCAAGAAGATTCTCAAGTGCCCCAAATGTGACAAGACCTTTGACCGTGCAGGTGGGAAATATGGAGTAAGGTCTAGATGATTAGTGTTATCATTACTGTTTTCTACAGCAGGCACCACTATTAACCCAGCTACTATGAGATGAGTCGTTTCATTAACAGACTGAGATGTTAAATCAAAGAATCGTCTCCATTAAGTATCTAGTTCTACTTACTGTTTGGTCTATAAAATGTCTGAAATAAATGCCCATCCTAATTTATTACGACTGATACCATCTATCATGTTACCTGCACCTTTCCTGCATTTCATAGGGAAGTACGAGAGTCATACCCGAGTGCACACGGGAGAGAAACCCTTTCAGTGTGACGTCTGTCTTCAGCGCTACTCCACCAAGTCTAACCTGACCGTACACAAGAAGAAGCACGCCAGCGACGCTCCCTTCCAGAAGAAGGAGCACAAATGCCCCTTCTGCAACAAACTCCATGCCAGCAAGAAAACCCTGGCCAAGCATGTCAGGAGGTGAGACAATCTTTTACCTCTGGTCCACAAAGTTAGCTCTCTAGAATCACATTGTTAGCATGGCTAAACATCTAATCTACAGTTGTATACCTTAACATAGGTGTGTTAAACTTATATCTAAGTTTTAGAAAAACAACAACATGCATTTTGTAGAGCTAACTCTCCACTAGATCTCCATGATGACAGATGTGCGTGCGCTGCAGTCATGTTCTATAATGCCATGATATGTGATATCTTCACTGTCCTGCCAGGTTCCATCCAGACCACATCCAAGAGTTTCTTACCAAGAGGAAGAGGAAGAGTGAAGGCTGGAAATGTGCAGTAAGGATTTGTTTCACTCATATTACTGTCTGATTATGCAAGCTAAGTAGATGATGCATGATGATGGATACGTTTAGTTTCTCTGTGTAAATAGTTTATTTTTTCATTTTAACATTCTGTAACGTTTGAACCTTCTGAACCAGGTTTGTCTGAAGACCTTCACGCGCAGGCCTCATCTGCAGGAGCACATGATCCTGCACACCCAGGACCGGCCCTTTAAATGCTCCTTCTGTGACGAGTACTTCAAGTCCAGGTTTGCCCGGCTAAAGCACCAAGAAAAGTACCACTTAGGTGAGATGTTTATGATGGAAATAAATTCTTCACCTCCTTAAAGATAAACCTTCATTCTTGGTAAAGGAGAAGCTTTTAAACGAAGTCTTAAGGTTTAATGTTTTAATGCTTTAAAAACCGGAGGTGTTGAAAATCTACATTTGAGTGTGTATTTTACCTGCCAAATCAAATTGTTTGCAGGATATTCAACCTTTTTGTTTCTTTATAATCCATTTAATACTTGACTTCTGTTCCTACAGGGCTTGTATAGAGGAAATAAATAATCTGTGAATATTAGATATGAGTTTACAGTTAATTACAATGCCTGCTTGCCATTGTGGCGGTTGGTTTTTGGCATTTTTGCCGGTAACGCTCACACTTGCTCCCTCGCAGTACTTTTTGTTTGTCTGCCCTCTGGTGTTTAGAAGAATACTGCAACAAACGGAGCCTTTGTGCACGCTCGTTGCATGTGTTACATTTGACCGCTTAACACTAGAGTTTGTATTCTCTCATTTTCAGGTCCCTTTCCCTGTGAGATTTGTGGTCGACAGTTTAATGACACCGGCAACAGAAAGAGGCACATTGAGTGCACGCATGGAGGCAAAAGAAAGTGGACCTGCTTTGTTTGTGGTAAATCCGTAAGGGAACGGTACGTCTCTGTCCCTAAACTTCCCCCACATACCTTTTTTTCTTTGATATGCTGAAGTGCAATAACTAACGTGTAACCCTGTGCTGCTTCGTTGAGAGATGTGTTTTTCTTCTTACAGAACAACTTTGAGAGAGCACTTGAGGATCCACAGCGGGGAGAAGCCTCACCTCTGTAGTATCTGTGGCCAAAGCTTCCGTCATGGCAGCTCTTACAGGTCGGTCCGCTGAGATTCGAAGAATGTGATCGTGAAAGTTTCAAGTTCCCAGTTTCTTTATTTTTTTAAAAGTTGCCTATAATGAGCAAAGTGTTCCCTGGACAGGCTCCACCTCAGAGTCCACCATGACGACAAGCGCTATGAGTGTGACGAATGCGGGAAAACCTTCATACGGCATGATCACCTGACCAAACATCAGAAAATACACTCCGGTAAGACAAACAGCTGTTGGATTTTCATGCATCTTCTTTTTGGACAAAGCAGACACTGTCACATACGACTGTGGCAGTGCCTGCTTTGTCTCTTTTCACACAGTACAGCGGGAAACAAAGTAAACCTTTCACTGTCTCCAGTCAGTAATTACTTTAACTTAACACATTATTATTATTATTATTATTATTATTACAGGTGAGAAAGCACACCAATGTGAAGAGTGTGGCAAGTGCTTCAGGCGCCATGATCATCTGACGGTCCACTACAAGAGCATTCATTTGGGAGAGAAAGTTTGGCAGAAGTATGTCTTCTCATAAATCAGTCGCACTTCTTCTTCTGTTAGCTGCCCCTCTGCGTGTCTCCGTTAATGAGGACTTTGTTCACAGATATAAAACCGCTGTGCATCAGTGTGAGGTTTGCAAGAAAGAATTTAAAGGAAAGTCCAGTCTGGAAATGCACTTCAGGACCCACTCCGGTAAGGAAACAAATAAGTCGGTGCATGTATTTGTCACATGTGAGAGAACAGAAAAGTGTCAGTTAGATGCTTTATGGGCGACCCGTTTGTTATCTCAATGGTCCGTCCACTAAGCCCCGCCCCACTTAGGTACTGTTCTATTCTACCACAGCACACATGCAGTTTAGAATGATAATAGTGGCAGATTTACTACTCAAAATCATTTCTAGCTGATAACTGGCTACAAACATAATATCCTGATAAAATACTGAGGCTTACGGTGCATAAAAGTCAGCATTCTTACCAGTTGATGATCGATTTATTGCAGGATAGTAGCTAGTTAACGTTGAAGTAGCATATCACATAACATGGTTATATGTTTAAGTCTGAGAATATGACCACAAATACTTATATAGGCTGCCAAATATCTTGTAAAATATACAGAGCTGGCAAAATATTATTTACTCACAGATTGATCTTCTGTTTCTGAAGAAATTTAAATATGAATTTTATTCTATTTTAAGCGATTCCTTCTCTCAAACTTTTATGAGACAGTCCGTCCTTTTTTTTATGTAATTTATTTTGAGTATTTTACTTCTAATTTAAATGATTTGCTTTAACCAGTAGTCTATTTATGGCAGTCACATTCTCAGATGTATTGTAATGTAACTAATATCATGTTCTATAGACGTCTGTTTGAACCTTTTCGTTGTCGAAAGCAGACGCACATTGTAGTCGCAGTACAAGACGACGTTCAGACACGTGTTCAGTAACGCTAGCTGGCGATATAAAAATATATGAAAACATCCAAAGGCAGGGAATGGAAGAGGAATAATTACCTCATCAGACATTAATGTTCCATGATTGATCCCTGAATGTTTTGTTTACTCAAGTGATTTTTTTATTTTCTTGCTGTGAAGGCAAAGAAATCATCACGTTTATTTTGAAAAAGCGCAATAACTGATGGTGTTATTTTGAACTTCCGTGTTTATAGGACTGCGGTCCAGCCAAAGACAAACATCTGTTTTCCTCCTCTTAGTTTTGGCAGCGCCTCTCCCGGTTCACTATAGTGCAGATTACTGTACAGCGCCACCACATCGTTAAAATGACGTAGTTTAAAAATGATAGAAATACACACAGTGCAATAGAAATGGCGATGTAAACATACCTCTTTGATGCTCTCTTGTGTTCATGTGACAGGTGAGAAACCCCACAGGTGTCCAGAGTGCAACCAGACCTTTCGGATCAAGAAGACCTTGACAAAGCACATGGTGATTCACTCAGACGCTCGTCCTTTCAACTGCCCCCACTGCAGTGCCACCTTTAAAAGAAAAGACAAGCTCAAGTACCACGTTGACCACGTGCACAGCACCCTTTTCACCGAGCAGCCCCATGGCACACTCGGTGAGGACAAAATAGTCTCCGTTCCTTTTGAGGAGCCCTCGAAGGTATACTGCGCTGAACCGAAGTCAGCCCTCCAGAGCAGTCCTTCTCCCACGAATGTCTGCGTGCCCGTCACTTTAGTTCCTGTCCAGATGGCAGGTGGAGCGCAGGCTGACCCGAACGCTCACAGGGCCTCTTCCCTCTCCTCCCAAACTCACAGCGTTGTGAGCATGCAGGCTCAAGGACAGCAGCAGAACTCTAGCTACCAGGCGGCTACAGACCTGGCGTTCTTAGAAAAGTACACCCTCACCCCTCAGCCCGCCAACATTGTCCACCCCGTGAGGCCCGATCAGATGCTGGACCCCCGAGAGCAGTCCTACCTGGGCACCCTGCTGGGACTGGATTCAGCTTCCTCTGTGCAGAACATCTCTAACTCTGATCTCACACACTGACGCTGCTCAGCAAAACCTGGGAAGGCCCCGTCCAGCAAATTGATTTAAAAATAAGAACAGAAGCTACAGTATTCACCATTAACATATACTCACACTTGTATAAAATGAAAAATTCAGTTTTCCGATAGCTGATGTTGGATCATCTCTGGTTCAAAGTGAGTTATGGCTGAACAGAATGACTTGGGTTTTATGTGTTTTTTTTAAAGAGACAAAGCTTTTTGATTTTTAAGGAGTCAGTTGATTGACGGAAAAGTAATTAATAGCAAATTGGATAAATCATTGGAGTAATTTATCCAGTAAAAATAGCAATAACTTCTTGGTTGTAACTTCTTGATTTTGTTAGTAACTTATGATAAACGATCAAATAAATAAATAAATATTCATAGATAACACAATAATTGCTAGTTGCAGCCTTGTAATAATGATTAAACTTTAAGTAGCCTTAACATGTATTGTAATTTAGGTTCTGTCTGTACAACATGTCACTCGAAGGTTTTGGGTTTGTAATTGTGCGATGCAAGGAAACATATTTCACACACGCAGTGTACAATGATCAGAGGTCGATGTACTTGCCTATGTGTGCAAGAACCTTGATTTAAATACAGATGTTAAGTCTGTGAACTTTGATTTAAAAAATGAAATGACTTGTTAATTGAAGTGGAACAAGATGGATTTGTTCAGAATGAATTGTTGGATAGTTAAATTCCAAACAGTTAATCTTCATATTCTGAAACTTCGCAAACTTTGTGTCATGATCAATAAAATCTGATTTGAAAATATTGATATTTGTGAGTCATTAGGCTCGTGACAGACCGGCAGGATGGATCCCACCTGGAAGAGTCTCATGACCCTGAACAGGAGGAAGTGGATATGGATGAAAGTTGGATGAATTTGAAGTGATTTAGACTCAAAAACTGCCGACACAATCTAGAAAGAGTAGTGTTGAAACACAAGACTTTATTGAGAGGCTGTTACCTCCAGGCTGTTTTCAGCAAATCCAAAGGTAGCAGAATCTTCCCCTTGATGATACAGCCTTAACAAATACTCTGGTGAAAAGATTTTACAAACAAAAACAATATTGTAAAATATATAAATGCATAATCGTGAATGAATAAACAGTAGTAGTGCTTAATGCGAGACACCATCAGCGTAAACGCAGAGCGACTTAACACTCACCATCTTTCGTTCCCACTCGGCACAACCTGCAAACAATCACACAGCAGTGAATGTGGAGCAGCTTATTGACTTCTCATTGGGAGGTGAAGTCTGTCTGATATGTGTATTATTAACATATCGATATCGATTATCGTCAACACCAGTTTATTGTGACACCCCTAAGTACAAGCATGGACGCATCCATGAGTACAATGAGAAATCAGTGAAGTACTGTAAAGGAATAATCTTAAAGTGATACTTACAATCGGAAAAGGAAATGTTTCCATTAGTGCACCGGCTCACAGCATAGTGATTGTTAATCTGGTGAGACTTTTTCACACATTCCAATTTCACTGTGTCACCATCTCTTATGAATTTAACTCCATCATCTATTAATTCATAGACGTGACGAGTGTCCACTGAACAGAAGGTGGCTGCAGAAAGGAAACAACAAAAAATTGTTACTTTTTCCCTCCAGTCAACTTCTTTAACAGACCTTTAGAGGTGATTTATTTTGATTCTTTTACCTTTGCAGGTGGGTACTTTTGACCACGTGCCATCACTGTAACACTGCACTGTGTCTGGACCCACTAGTTTGTAAAAACTAGCGCATTGGTACCGCACAAATATTTCGGTCTTTTCCACAAAATCGCCATTTGGAACTACGGGATGTTTTCCACAATTGCTGACTGAAATAGAAATAATTAAAGTTAATGGAGGTTTCTCGAAACAAATATATTTTAAGCTGTCATAGCAAACTTATTTTTGAAATTTCATCACACATCATGATTTCCCCAGCGTTTCACTGAGTCAAATCTGAAGATAGTAAGGTTGTACTCGCAAGAGAAAATTGAAAACCTACCTCGCCCGTCAGGGTGTGTCCCACTACCAGCAGATGTGTCATGTCCTCCAGAACCACCATGTTCAGTACCCGGTCCACTGCCTAAAATACAGTAGTACATACATATCACCAATTCATATGAAAATACAAGAAACCACTTCCACCTGCAGGTTGTGTCCCACTGCAGGTGATGTAGTGTGCCCCCCCATCTGTTCCCCCCACTGCAGAACCAACAGGTTCAGTACCAGGTCTGGTTCCTCTGCCTGGGAGAAAAAACAATCACATGTACATACAATACATTCACTTTCATGGATCACAAACTGATGTAGTTTTCTTTAAAGGTCCAATAAGTAAGATCTGGCCAGAATTTTAGTTGAAGAACATTCAGAAAATGAGCTACTAGCTTCCTGTCCAACAAAGAATTGACTTTAAAATCCTGCTGTTGGTTTAAAAAGCACTGAATGGTTTCGGGCCAAAATACATCTCTGATCTGCTGCTACCTTATGAACCATCCCGACCCCTTAGCTCGTCTGGGACCGGTCTACTTTCTGTTCCCAGAGTCAGAACTAAACATGGAGAAGCAGCGTTCACTTTTTCTGCTCCACACATCTGGAACAAAGTCCCAGAAAGCTGCAGGTCTGCTGAGACCCTCAGCTCTTTTAAATCATTTAAATCAAGATTGAAGTCTTTTCTATTTTAGATTCAAGGATATTAATCAATTTCCTGCATTTTACTACTGTATTTTATTTCTTACACTGCTTTTTAGTGTTTTAATGAATGTTTTTAATTGTTTTTAAATCTCCTTTTCTTTTGCCTTGTGTTTTGATGGTTTTATGTGAAGCACTTTGAATTGCCTTGTTGTTGAAATGTGCTATACAAATAAAAAGACGTCATGTGTTGTGTTGCAGAGATATCTACTGAAATGAGCAGCTAACCCGTCTTGTAACACCACTAGTTCCTCTAGAAGCGATAGCGAGTCACTGTAGCGTCCAGTCTGCCCTCAGTCCAACAAGAGAGGACGAAGACGTAGAGCTGATGAATGTGCATTTATATTATAGAAGAGGTGATTGAAAAAAGGTTCAGTGGTGTATCGTCTCTATTTTGTTTTACCACTTGGGGGCAGCAGAACAACACTGACATATTATCACCTATTATCAGTTTGCCTATTTACACATACAGCAGACACAACATTAGCAATAATTTAGAGATGTTTCGTAAAGTTTCTGTTTTTTTTGTAATGCACCAAAAAATACAGCAATGTGTGAACAAAGGCAATCAACATGAAAACTGTTACGAGTAAACAGTTAATTTCATTGTTTGAAAACAGTTAAAAACTATTAATGATTAAGTTTAATAAACTATATATTCACCATTTATTAATTCTGTTATAACAAAGTGTTACCCCACTTACTGCACACTGGGCCTTCAGTCCAGCTTCCAGTGATGCAATAGACATATTTCTTGGCGTCTCCTCCCTCTACAGTATATCCATCTTCACATTCATACTGCACTCCTGTATCTGCAGCAAAGAATTC